GAGCTGCTGCTGCAGCTCTTTCAATAACATTCAAGCTTATAGTTGACCCAAGGGGCTCACATTATGACATCCATATTTAATTTAACAATAAATCATATTTTCATGGACTACAGTATTGCATTATAACCTCACTGTTTTATGTGCATGGGAATGCAGCACAAGCAGGCTAGTACGTATCTACAACACAGGCTAAATGGTTAGTTCATGAGAGCAAGGTCAAAGTGTACAGTGACGACAATATATAAAAGGTTTTATAACAACTCTTAGAAGTCTGAGGGAAAAAAGGACAAAAAAAGCTGCCTAGAAGGGACTGCATTTAACATAAGGTGTATTTTTTTTTCAATCCTCTTAACTGCACCACCTTGCTTACTGTCAGTTTTAGTTCTGCTCTGCACTTCCCATTGCAGTCAGCATTCTCTGTATCTCATTTTCTCTTCTGCTTCATTCAAGCATATTTAAGGAGAAAATTAACACCATCTGAATCTTAAGTTTTACCCATCCCTTTCTCCTCACAATAATTTCTCCTATTTGCCCTGCATTTTTTACTGTTGACCTTCTAGCAGACTCCAAATTAAATCTTCATATGTTTTCTGTTTACTCCCAGATCTAGTCCTGCTTGTTCACATTTATTCTTGCTCATCTCCCTCTTATTTGCCTCTGCCAGTATCATATCACATCACATCATCCTCAACTTCCTTACTTTCTATTCCTACCAACTTCAACTCTCTTTCCAGTGCCTACGTCTTGCAGCCCTCTGCAATCTAAAATTAATTTAATTCATTCTTTCCTCCCCATCAGCATTATTAATAATCTTCTACTAGCCAGATGACGGAATAACTTCATTGCTCTTCTCCATCAGCTGCCTTTGGCAATAGTTTACCCAATATTTGCACTACTCTCTTCCACAGACTTTATAAAACTCTATTATCTCTTTTAGAAGGTTCCACTTTTCAGAACTAAGTAGTTTCATTTACCTTTTTATTGGCAGCCTTGATCTTTGGTCTAGATGTCATCCTTAACATACATTACATAAAATTAAGGAAGAGCAACTGTAGTAAAAAGCTACTCGGATCCATGTTCTCTTTCTATCTCTCATCCAGCCTTCTGTTCATCTTCTCTTCATGCATTGTATCTAAATTAGATTTTCAGTTCCTTGGGGTAAGAAGACATCATTTTCATTTATCTGTAAAACACCATGCATGCTTATGGCTCTGTAGAGATGCTAAATGTGTATATCCACATTTATGAAAATATTGATGCTTTTATCTATTCATATAGTGCAGAGGCAACATGGTAGTAGTTGTATCCATTTAAAAACTATTTTCCATCTATAATAGCTATAATGTGATATATTTATCTGCTGCATGCTGTTCACTCTCTATTTCTTAGTTCATACTTATGTTGCTTTTCCCCGTCTTATTAACTAACACTGCCCAAAAAATAAAAATCAGAATTTTCTCTGACAGTATGAAAATATTTTTCTAAAAATAAAGCATATGGGTAACACAGTGGTTTTATTACTCATTCATACTGTGTGTTCACAGTCTTAGTGGGTGACGGTTGCTGTACCAACTGAAGACTGCTCCTGCCCTCCAAAATCTTGTAATTTAAAAAGTCCTGATGATGGTAAAAATTTCAGGAATTTTGGACACCAGTATTCTTGCTACCTAGCTTGAGAAGCATTGAAGTATCCAATTTTCAGAGTATTAGAGCATAGCACCTTCTAAAACACAAGGTCTTGAAAAGGGAAGCTCTTTATTATTTTGAAAATTTTGGCTGACAAAATTAACATAATTCATGAAAGCATGTATTCTAAAAGCTAGGAGGGTTTTTAATGCAAAAAGATAAACTGAGGATACTATCAATCCAATTATAACATGTTAAAATATTTCTATTAATAAGTGAAGTAACAGGCTGTAGATATACTCTCCTTTGTTGTCAAGCATATTTATTTCTTGGTTAGACAAAAAAGTAAGTAGGCATGCCCAAATCCCACAGCAAAATCCACACAGGCCACTGTCATGACCCAGAGTTCATTGCATGAATGAGCCTGTACTAATCATTTCAAAAGTTAGCTCAAAAGATAAGGAATTATTGTAGAGTAGACACTGTATGCAGAGCAATTAAACTGTTCTGCTTCACCTAACACTTAATAAATGGTTAAGCATTTAAGCGTTTAATAAAGTGAACATCTTTGAATATCCTGCTTTGCAGGATATCTGAGCTGAAAATTTGAAATGGGTTGCTCATTTGTAGGTCAGTACATAGGGAGTGGTCTTAACAAACTGTTTACTCAGAGTAGCAGGAAAGAAGTTACATGGGGAGAATGTTATTGGCATTTCTTCACAAACTGTCTTACAGGTGATGGATTTAATATTTATATTATCTTTGCATAGAAAGACTTGTTTCAACCAGTGTTTCACCATGCTTCTTACTGGATAAAATGCTAAACATCGATACAACTTAATGTCAAACACATGTATAACTAAACCTGTGTACGGCTGCACTGATTACAGCCAGAACACAAACTTGCTTAAAAGCTTTCTTGGACTGAACAAATGGCAAAGGTTCATTTTACCCAACTTTTGATGTCTCCCACATAGGCATCTACCTCAGAGCTAGTCCCCTTCATTTCCTTACTACACATGAAGAGAACTGTGTCAATGAATGCACTAAGGTGTGATTCATCAGACCTACTCTAAATATTTACTTCAGGATAAGCCATTGTAAATTGTAAAACAACCAAATTTGGTAAATGAATCCCATTTCATTAAACAGTGAGAATCAAATGTTTATTCATTTCTTTACATCTTCAGAGAAAGTCAATTCCGGATATCCTGTCTACAGCCTTGTAAGTAAACAAAACAGGGTCAATGGCCTGACTCAAACACCATCCCTCAATAGTCCGCAGACCTTCATTTTTACTCCTTGACAAAACTGCTGTCCGATGCCAACTATTACTCTCCAGGCATGGCTTGGGGCCAAATATGGCACAGCCTAGGAAGTGCTCTCCAAAGGCAGCTAGAAGATGGTCTGCCTGCTTCAGGTAGAAGCAGATAGAAGCAGGCCCTACCAGTTGGTTTCAGTGCCAGAAAATGGTCTGTTGCATCTTCTACTTGAAGAAAAAATGGTAACTGGTATGGATGACAAGTCTAAATTGCAACTTTAGATGACAAAGAAGTAGATAGAAAGGTAGCTTATAAAGGAACATGAAAGTAAGGATAAAATAAAGAATATAAACATAGCAAACGTAAAAAAAGAAGAACAAAGATGGAAGAATGGCTACAAAAAACTATTAAAATATGATATGACATTCATGGTTGTGATCACTTTGGACAAATATAACAGGGAGACTAGCTATTATCTAAATGAACTGGCATTTTAACATACAGTTCACTTGATAGATCACAAGATCTACTCCCTGTAAATCACCTCAGAGAACACCACCAACAGAAGGAAGGTAGGGAATAAATTTCCAGAAGATTGGAAATTGGACCAACTTTATTTCTATGAAAACTAATGATAAAGCATCTTCTGAAAAAAAGAGCTTCACTAGTGCTGAACAATTTTGGCCATCCTGACATAAAGGTAGAAGCTGAGCTATAATGACTTAATGGCCCTGTACAGGAATGAATTATTACATGGACCTCATTGTGTATGGGAGGTTGTATTCTGTAATGATATTATGAGATGTAATGGTCAAATTTTCAGGTGCACTCAACTTTACATCCTTCACAATGAGAAGTATGAATGATGAGCACTTTTGAAGATCAATGTAGTTTCTTTGCTCAACAAAGAACTATGGCCCTACAAAATTGAGTTTAGAAATAATGTATGTATGGAGCACCTTTTCACCTGTTTCCACCCCAGGATGGGGGGAGATGGATTAAAACTACTTGCTTTCCTTTCAGCTAAACATTTTTTTTCTAATCACATCACTTTATTCCAATTTACATGAGTTTTAGCTTCAAGAATCATTGGTCATTGCTGAATGCAAATAAGCACGAAGTAAAATTATATTAAGTTTGCACAATTGATCTTTCATCATTTTAAATGGTACCTTTTAAAATTTCCTGTAAAATCAGCCTGAAATACTCCTGTAGTTGACTGTCATCAAGTAGAGCAGGGTCACTTTGGGAAAACCCCTTCTCAGTGATGTAAATTATAGGGTTATTATATGTATCCTAGAACAAGAGAGCAGAAGTTTTATTCAGAACAGATGTAAGAAAGCCCATAAAATCAGATGCATTATCCTCTGTCTTTTCTAAGCTACAAACTAAAACTAGTTTTCATCAAATTGCACTGACCCTATTAACTTAATTTTCCATGAGCTGACCTTTTATGACTAACAATGGAAAAGCAAAACTGTGCAAATATCCATGAAGACAGTGAAATGACTTATTTTAATGAGAAGACTAAAATATCTTTCCTGCATTAGCATCTGCTTATTGTCACTGCTCCTTAACCCCTTGGTACTGGCAGTCACCACACGTCCCATTGCCAGGAGTAGATGCATGCCAGGAAAGGCTTACGGCTGGCATCAGAAAGATCATTTCTGGAGTTCAAAAAAATGATATAACACTGGTGTGTCATTTCAAACTGTAAAATAGCTATCAAGTACAAAGGCAATAAGAAAATACTAAGGCTTCTACTCTTTATAGCCAGCATCCAAAAATTAAATTAAGAATCCCAAGGTGACATACTTATTTATATCTTGTACAATGTGTTATGCCATCCAGATGGCCTCCTCAAAAAACCCCAAATCACCAGTATTACTCATTGGATTCTCAGATCCCCTCATTGGCCAGTTAATAGTGACAAAATGGTCCTGTGAGCCTTAGGTCATTCCTTGATATAACACAGAAGTCAATGCAAACCCCATGGTACTACAGCCAGGCATAAACTCCCAGTTGCAACAGGCCAAGAAGGATCCATTATTTGCTCAGCTTCACAGTCCACTGAAACACTTAGCCTCTTGTCTGCATTTTCTTGGTCTTAAGTTAACAGTTCACAGTAAAGTCAGCAATACCCGTGATCATCATTTTTCCCTCTTTAGTGAATTCCAGAAGCCTTGATGATAAGTAAACCTGCTTTGAATGCATTGCAGAAATCCAGGACTTCATGATGGCTGGATATTCACTATCAGTAAATACTGTCCTGACAAACCCATCTAAGGTAAAGGACAGGTACCCTTTAGTTGCTTTTTGATCTGCTACAGAACTCATAGAGGTTCTACCAATCTGAGTTCAGAGCTATAGACACAAGTCCACATTGTTTTCTCCAAATATCTTATTGCAACTGTGTCAGGCTTTAGCATGAACTTTTATCACATTATAAGCTGCCTTGTAAGCTCTGGTACCAATACCAGGGCTATACTTTTTTTCACAACCACCTATAGCAACAACGTGAGGCTCATTAATAGTGATCATTCAGTCTCCAAATGTTCTGAAGTAATACTTTGCATGAATATCAAAGGTCTCAATGATCTTTTCAGATCTCCAGCCACCTTCATCTTCTAAGGACTGAGGTAAGCCAAAGTGATACAGTGAGCAGGATGCCATTTCTTTCCTTTCATAGAATCATAGAATGCTTTGGGTTGGAAGGGACCTTGAGAGATCATCAAGCCCAACCCCCCTGCAGTAAGCAGGGATTGAACCTGTTATTAATGATTTTGCTGTAATAACTGACTCCTGAAAATATTGAAAGAAACAAAAAAGGGTTAACTTAATAACTTTATTACATTTTAACACATGAAGAAACCTCACTGCACATTTTCTCTGTTAAGAGATGCAAATACTTCCTCTCAACTGCATGCTGACTACTGCTACAAGACCCCAGAGTTGGCAAAAATGCGCAGCACGAAAAATCTTCCAACCAGGCACATGAAATGAGGATGCAAATTTTCAAAATAGATCAGTGGACAGCAACTCCCCAGGAGAAACATAATTCTGATGGGTGCTGGTCACAGGAAAATATAATCCTTTCATTTAAATGCCTGAATGGCAGCCTGGCTGCATGTACAAGACGAAAGCCTGTTGGAAAAATCCTAACACTTGAGAGCCTGACAGGTAGATTTGTTCTAATGAAAGCATTTCTCTCCTTGAGAACTGTGTCTTTTAAAAAGTTTAGCGCCACACTCAGCAAGGTAACTAAGCTGATCTTTTATGATTTGAACTTGGTTAGCTGGGTGAGCTGTTTTCTCTAGACTGTTCCATTCTCCATCACTGCCTGTGCCAGCATCAAGACAAAGAAGATACTGTCAATGCCTTCAATATTTTACAATGGTGTGAATTCAATGGTTCCCTCATTAGCTGGGGTGTCTTACCAGATCTGTATGACATTTAAGGCTTTTCATTGAGCTCTAATATATTTTAGAGGGACTTTACGACACTGGTCTAATTAGCCACCAACTTGAACAGCTGGGCAATAGTTTATCCAAGAAACCAACTCTCTTCCTTTTACACTGCCACTGCTGCAGACAGCTCAGTCCCTCTAACTGCAAGAAGGAATTAGCTCACCTCTCTGAAAGCTCATGACTTCCAACCTTTCTTGTCCCCCCGTGATAAGACAGAGATCAACTTTAATTTCCTGGATGTGTTGTTAAAGCTGGCCAGTACTGGGGATGTATTTCTAGAGGCTTAAAAGGAACTCACCTTCTGTTCAGATTTAGCAGTGGCTGACATGAATATGTTTCCTAAAGGACTATTTTTATGCTGCTGAGAGGTCACTGTAAGTTTAAATATCAGGATACCTTAAGCTCTTATACAGGCATTTTTAATTTTGCTTACATCCAAACACAACTACATTGCTTTTAAGCCTTCTGAAAACACTAGATATTGCAAAACACATCATAAGCTCTGGTTCAAAGATTAGCAATTAGCTTGCTCTTTTACTTGAACTATCTGGTTTAGTGAGGTAATTGGAAAAGGCCAACAGTGGCCTTGAATTATTACTTGTTAAGCTAAGAGGCTCCAGCTAGGAATAGGTCTCCATCATGCTGGTGGAATGTAGAAATCAGTCAGCCTTTGCTTCAGAGACTTTGGCAAAATATATCAAAGTGTTTAAGATCTTTAGAAACCTAGAATTCACAAAAATTTTGTGGGTCTTAGACTACCACATATCCTAATAAGCCATAGGTGCTTATGAAATGTCTATCCCAAGGCCTTGCTGTGTTGAAACCCAGAACTGAGAAAGGTCTAAAGAAGTTGAGAACACAGCAGAAAGGAGGAGGAGGAAGACTAAGTTGCAAAGGTTAGCAAAACATTTGCTCAGAAGGTTAAGTATGGTTTAGATTATTATTCTTAACAGTTTCTGAACCAGAGATTTTGTTTAACCCAAAGCAGGAAACTTGTTCATTAGTAAATATGCCTGTACTATATCATAGTATAACTTCCCTGGTATTTTCAGGTTCAGCTTGCTGAAAATGTCAACACAGAACCCCGTACTACCTTCTTAAAAGGACAGTATTAGACTTGAAATTATCCTAACTTCAAATGACTGATTGTAAGGATTTCCATCAAATGGCTTTTTTAAGACAACATTTACTGCAGCAATCAATTATGAACCCCAGATTTAGATAGTGCCTTCTCGTAAACAAACAGGTGCATACACATCCTTTAGCACAGCAAGACTCGATAAGTTTGTTTACAAAGTAATTCACAATAAATCTCACAGATAGTTTGCTTTTCCTCCCAAATGCAGCACCAGAAAAACACATTAAATTCTGAGGAGATACGTGCCTGTGCCTGAGAATGCACCCACATAAAAGAAGAAGGAATATACAAGAATTTTAAATTCTGAAAAGAAAGTTCTTGCAAGTTGCAAGAGCAATTAGAAGCAAATACATTTTGTTACTGTCACTTTTGAACAGGGACCTATCTGACTTCAGTGGAACTGGGGGTGTGTTAATTGTTTGCTGGTGGGACTTCAAGGTTTACTACATAAGCTTAAACTGGGAAAAAAGAAATCCTTTGCTGGTATAGGATTCTGTTCTACCATATTGAGAGTAATGCTTGCCTAGAAGACACTAGCATTTCCCAATCTAATTTTCAGATTATAAATTGCCTTGTGCAATTTTGTAACATTTAAGTGCAACCAGCTATCATTCATTTTTTACATCTCAATTAAACAGCAATATTGGAAAAGATTTATGCTTTGTGTTAGGAAATGAAAAGAAATAGAACTGGATCCCTGAAAAATGTAAATGTCAAGTCAAATTTCCAGATTGTCTTATACATTCCAGAGTAGCCTGATTAGTTTCTATGGCTGTACCTGTGGGTCAGCTAGAAGCACAAATACAGAAGAAAACGTTCTTCTAAGAAAGTGTGTATATAAGGGTTTTGCGGAGACACCCCAAAATTTGGGGATTAGAGACATTAAGGAGCATTTTGTCACTGGAAACTGAAGGATTGTTCTTTTCTCCTTTCTGTCATCTTCTCTCCCCATCCGGATTCCCTACCTTCATGCTGAAGTGAGGCATAACATCAAACTCTCCCACACTCAATACCCCCATATCTACTACTTCTGTCTCCCTCCACACTGACACCTAGTGTATAGCAGCTAGCTTGTTCTGCTCAGGGCACCTTCTAGGGTAAAAATAACTGTACAAAAATACTTTAAAAACAAACTTGGTGTAAGTTTTAACCTAAAACCTGACATGTCTTAGGAACAATACACCTACAACATTGCTGCTTTAAAAGACCCTACCCCCACTGAGTTAGAAACAGAATTGTTTTAAAGGTTTTCAAATGCCCTACGTCTTAGGTGTGAAATTGGTAGTGAATCAGTTGGTGTGAATGATTTTATTTGAAAGGACATTGCTCTGAGCTTTCTAATTCTTCACATGCTCTTTGTAAAAATGTTTATACAGAAGATGATGGCCTTTCCATGCTATGCAGTTACAATTGCTTCAACAGATCACTGCACAAGAGAAGTGAACTCCTGCCTAATGAAAGCTGGCCTACTTGGAGTTCCTCCAATGCCCTTTCGCTAAATGTAAAGTTCATAATATTAATCAGGCAACTGCTTATACTGGGGATCAAGTGAACATTTTCTGAAATTACAGCTGAGTTTTGTCAAAATGTTAGCTTTCCTTACCAAGTGCATTCAGAATGACTGCTTGCTATCTCCCACTCTGACGTCTAAATAACAAAGCCTATTCAGTAGGCAGCTCTGTGGGGTTGTACAGTGCCTGCAGCCCCAGCTGAAGGAATATCAGTACAGGAAAGTAACCACAAGGACTCAGCCAAATTTAAATTCAACACACCACAAAAAGCACTCCTAGGGAAGGGCAAGCTGTGCCAGTGAAAGTGGGCCACATATTGTAAAATTTGGTGGCAAAGGGAAGGCTTCCATTCAAGCCTCCCTGGGATGCTGGCACGGTTTTTGCAGTCATGCTCTGCAGGGGAAAATGGCTGGTTGGTCTGTTTACAGCAGATTCACCAGCCCCCCCTTTCTGAATTCTTGAAACAAAGGCTCTTCCACTCTCTGGTGAAAACCGTAATCTGCAGGATGCAGAGGACAGGCTGCTGCCTATTGAGCAGCCAAACTCTACATGACCAAAATTCTGCAGAAAAACATTGCTTCTGCTGGTATCTTCCTAGTACAGATGAGGATAACGTGAAGAACATTTTCTAAGAAATTCTTTCCCTTTGTAGCCTTCCATCTTTGCAATCTTCCAACCAGTGGAAGAAAAGACTTGCCAAGGCAAACACTGCTCCAGAAGTACAAAGATATATATCTTCTTGGTAGAACTGAGATTCAGAAGAGTAGGAGACAGAATTGAGTTTCAGAGGTTCATCCAAATCTATTTTGCTTTTTTCTCCTTGGAACATTATGCTCCGATCATATAAGAGACCTCAGCCAACTACTTTGATTCCCATCCTTTCTGATAGAGCTTCAGTTGCTTTTATTCTTTACAGTTCTATTTCTTTTTTCTTCCATTCTTTCCATTCTGCAGACAAAACTG